TCCCTGCTTCCCCCCGCCCCCACCTCCAGCAGTTCTGGTGACCCCCACCTCCCCCTTCCCCTCTCTTCTCTCTTGCCAGGGGACAAGGCCCTGGATGGCTACAGCAAAAAGAAATATGTCTGCAAGCTGCTTTTCATCTTTCTGCTTGGCCATGACATTGACTTTGGGCACATGGAGGCTGTCAACCTGCTCAGCTCAAACAAGTACACCGAGAAGCAGATTGTGAGTGGGGGGCTGGGTACTGTGTGGTAGGTTGGGGGAAGCATAGAAGAGCTGGGCATTGGGGGCTGTGGGGCAGGATGGGGGAGTGGGAACTGGGCACCATGGGGAGGAATTGGGGGGCTGGACTGTGGATACTGGAGTGGGGTGTGAAAGGGCTGGGCACTGGGGTGGGATGAGGGAGCTGGTCACTGGGCGCTGTTGGGTGAAATGGGCAGGCTGGGCACTGTGGGGCAGGATGGAGATGGGTGCTAGGCAGTGTTGCGGGACTGGGTCCTGAGGTAAGGGTAGGGGGCAGGACATTGAGGAGGGTGGGTTGGTGGGACTGGGTACTGAGCACCTTGGACAGAACAGGTGCCTGAGGGCTGGGCACAGAGTGGGTCTGTAGGAGGGGAGCCTGTATTCAGGGAGCCTCCTGCTGCAGCCCCTGTGGGGAAGGGGCAGTGGGGTGCATAGCAGGAGTGGGATGGAAGGGGGGGGGCAGCAGGAGGGACAGGGGTGAGGGACCCGGAAGGGAAGCAGAGATGCGGCTGGAGCTGGGTCATAATGCCGTGGTTGGAGATGGGCTGTGGGGCTGATGTCTTGGTAGGGCGGGGGGAGAGGGTGCCACTGGGCTCTGGCTTCCATGGGACAGGGGCTGAGCCCAGCCTGCCCCTCCCTTCCTCAGCCTTTTTTTTAAGCCACTCCTGGCCCCTCCCCAGGGATACCTGTTCATCTCCGTGCTGGTGAACTCCAACAGTGAGCTGATCCGGCTCATTAACAACGCCATCAAGAATGACCTGGCAAGCCGCAACCCCACCTTCATGTGCCTGGCGCTGCACTGCATCGCCAACGTGGGCAGCCGCGAGATGGCAGAGGCCTTCGCCTCCGAGATCCCCCGCATCTTGGTGGCTGGGTAAGTGGGGCACCACGTGGCTGGGACAGAAGAGGAGGTGGGAGAGTAGGGAGGCCCCACCCCTGCCCTGCTAACTAGGCCTATCTGCCCCCTCACTCAGCGACACTATGGACAGTGTGAAGCAGAGTGCGGCCCTCTGCCTCCTGCGCCTCTACAAGACCTCGCCTGACCTTGTGCCCATGGGCGAGTGGACCTCCCGCGTGGTGCACCTGCTGAATGACCAACACATGGTATGTTCCCTCCCCTCATCCCTCTGAATGACCAGCATATGGTGCATCCTATCCCTGCACCCCCATTAATGATTAGCACATGGTATATCGCATCCCTGTTCCCTCATTAATGACTACATGGTACATCCTATCCCTGCTCCACCCATGAATGACCAGCACATGATACATAGCACCTCTGCCTCCCCTGGGAATGACCAACATGTGGTACATCCTAATCACTTCCTGCCACCCCCAAAATGACCTGCCTGTGGTATGTCTCACTCCTGCCATCCTTGTCCTGCCCCACCATCTTGTAAGTTATGATCACATGATATATTTTACCCCTGCCCCCCCAAGAGTACAGGTCCTGCTTCTAGGAATGAATGCCACATGGTATATTACATT